GTTGGTTTTTAAAAAGACTTTTTTTTAAAAATTTATTTCTGACATTAATGCTATGTGTAGTTGGCAAGAATTTCTCTTCTTCAATTTGGATGTGGTTTCTGCCTCCAAAACTTGAAAACAAGCTTGTTGGTAAAAGTACAAGCTACAGGCACCCTCACATAACTCCTTCAACTCTGAATTTAAAAACCCATCACTGAGAACAAATTAGAACTGAAAAAAAGACATTTGAGTACTTGTGTTCTTTCTTTTTTTTTTTTTAATTTTTTTTTTTATAGAGGCATGTTTATTTCTTTATTTATTTGTTTTGTTTGTTTGTTCTGTTTACACATGCACTGGGTACAGTCAGAAGCACGGAAGGGTGAGAGAATTCACCAGAGCCAGAGCGGGGAGCAGAGCAGGCAGAAGGATCGAAGTACACTGCTGAGGGGAGCAGCGGGCGGCAGGAGAGGTCTGCGCGCCATGTGGGACCCTCCTCAGGTGGCCGGGGAGCAGCAGGGGATCGAACCGGCGCCGCAGAGGCCACGGGCAGCTTCGCAACCCAGCGCTCAACCGCTGTGCCACCGGGGAGGCCCACTTGTGTTCTTTCTTTAAGAGATCTTCAATTCAATATCTGTCCTTCTTACCTAATAGTTTTTAGAAAGTATCTTCCTATCGATGTCCACTCTCACCACTGCTTTTCAATATAATACTGAAGTCCTAGCCAGAGCAATAAGACAAGAGAAAGACATACAAGGAATCCAAATAGGAAAAGAAGAGGTCAAACTATCACTATTTGCAGATGATAGGATAATATACATAAAGAACCCCTAAAACTCCACAGAAAAACTAATTCAACTAATCAATCAATTCAGTAAAGTGGCAGGATACAAAATCAACACGCAAAAGTCAGTAGCCTTCCTATACACAAACAATAAATCTGAAGAAGAAGAAATCAAAACAACCATCCCTTTTATTATCGAAACAAAAAAATCAAATACTTGGGAATAAATATAACAAAAGAGGTAAAGGACCTATACAAAGAAAACTATAAAACACTGTTAAAAGAAATAGAAGAAAACACAAAGAAATGGAAAGACATGCCCTGCTCATGGATTGGAAGAATAAACATTATTAAAATGGTGATCCTACCAAAAGCAATTTACAGATTCAATGCTATTCCAATCAAAATTTCAATGTCATTCTTCAAAGAAATAGAACAATTATTGATGAAATTCATATGGAATCACCAAAAACCCTGAATAGCCAAAGCTCTCCTGAAAAAAAAAAGAAGGGAATGGAGGCATCACACTCCCAGACTTCAAACTATACTTCAAAGCCATAATCATCAAAACTGCATGGTATTGGAACAAGAACAGACACACGGACCAATGGAATCGAATAGAAAATCCAGAAATAAACCCACAGATTTATGGTCAACTAATCTTTGACAAAGGAGCAAAGAATATGCATTGGAGCAAAGAAAGTTTGTTCAATAAATGGTGCTGGGAAAACTGGGTCACTACATGCAAAAAAATGAAGCTTGACTACTACCTCACAACATGCACAAAAAACAACTCAAAATGGATTAAAGAACTAGACATAAGAACTGAAACCATAAAATACGTAGAAGGAAATATAGGCGAAACACTACATGACATGCACCTCAAAACATCTTTACATACACATCACCCAAAGCAGTGATAGTGAAGGCAAAGATAAACAGCCGGGAGTACATCAAATTAAAGAGCTTCTGCACAGCAAAAGAGACAATAACAAAAACAAAGAGAAACCCCACCAACTGGGAGAACATTTTTGCACCCAACACTAATGATAAAGGACTGATCACAAAAATCTGCAAAGAGCTGATGAGACTCAACAACAACAAAGAAAATAATCCAGTCAAAAAATGGGCAGAAGAGCTAAAAAGAAACTTCTCTGAAGAGGAAAAATGCAAATGGCCAACAGGCATATGAAAAAATGTTCAACATCACTTGTAATCAGGGAAATGCAAATCAAAACTACCATGAGATACTATCTTACACCAGTGAGACTGGCACATATTAAAAAAACTAGCAACAACAAATGTTGGTGAGGTTGTGGAGAAAAAGGAACTCTTCTGCACTGCTGGTGGGAGTGCAAAATGGTTCCACCACTATGGAGAGCTGTGTGGAGATTTCTTGACCTACTAAACATAGAGCTTCCATAGGATCCAGCAATTCCACTCCTAGGTATTTACCCAAAGGACACAGAAACATCAATTCCAAAAAGCACCTGCACCCCTATGTTTATAGCAGCACTGTTTACAATAGCTAAGCTTTGGAAATAGCCCAAATGCCCAAAAATAGATGACTGGATCAAGAAGATGTGGTACATATACATCATGGAATATTACTCAGTATTCAAAAAAGATAAACACATGCAATTTGCAGCAACATGGATGGCGCTGGAAGGGATCATGCTCAGCTAAATAAGCCAGAAAGAAAAAGAAAAATACCGGATGGTCTCACTCATAGCAGGACTCTAGAAAACTTAAATAAGGGACCAGGAAAAAGAATAACTATAAGAAAGTGAAAATCAAAATCAACAAACAACTATGAATCAGAGACACTCTATGGGGGGGTGGGGGGGAGAGGAGGGATTGGGGTCAAAATAAGGGGGTTGTAATTGTATGGGGAATATAAAAATAAAATTTCAATAAAAAAAAGAAAGTATTTTCCTATCTATCTAAAGCCGATTTACCTGCGCTCCTCTCCACACTTCTCACAGCAGCCTCCTTCCTCCCAGCCAGTTCTCAGTGCTACTAGCCAGGCTGGCATTTCCCATCCAGTGACATCCTGGAGAAGAATAGCTACAAGCAGGAACAGACTGGTGCCCCAGGGGAGAGGAGAGACGCCTTCTCACCAGGTTAACCCAAACAGCCAGCTCAACCCCAACTGCGTTCATCCCACTCATGCCCTTGCAGCTAGGTGGGTCCGCTCACAGGGAAAAGGGGCTATGAGAGCTCCAGTTCAGGCTCCGCACACTGCACTTGGTTAGTTAGTAGCACCTGTGTCCTGTGCTAACAGCTGCCTGCTGACTGGTATACAGGATTTCAAGTGTGACTCCCAGGATTCTAAATGTCCCCTTTGCCTTTGTAGCTAAGGGAGGGAGAGAGAACAGTAGGAGAGAGTGGGGGAAGGAAAGAGGGAGAGAATAAGAGGGTAGGGGAGGGAGGGAGGGAGGGAGAGAGAGAGAGAGAGACAGAGAGAGACAGAGAGAGACAGAGAGAGACAGAGAGAGACAGAGAGAGACAGAGAGAGACAGAGAGAGACAGAGAGAGAGAGAACACAGCCCCAAAAACTCACTGAAGCACCACAAATCACCCAAGTCAAGTCAGAACCACAGGAAAAGGCATGATAAAGCCACAGTAGTGTCTGCCTCAGGACTTGAGGATCAATACTTATCAGCAATAGCTGCTTGCCCAGCACTGCTTCCTCAACCCCCACCATCCTAGCCCACCTCCACTCCACCTAATAGAATGGAGACAATTTCTAAGTTCCTTGTAAAAGGTTTTACATGGATTCCTGATTTACTCAATCAAGGCCTGTGGTTTATTTTTACTAAGTAATAGGGGCCTCCTATTAAAAAGAACACCCACAGTTAAAGCACAAACAGGTAGAAATTTTACTGCCCTTCCATAAATCAATTCAACATCCTGGTCTCTAGGCACTTGCCAAAAGATAATGGGCCACAATTACCAAACAAACCATCACCACCAGGTGCCAGCAGGTTTTTGGAGAAATTTCTGAAGTCCATAGGCACTTTCATGGGGAAAATGAAGCCGTAATTAAACCCAAAGCGAGACACAAAAAGAGATGTAATGCTGGTTTAAATTAAAGTGACTAAAAAATAGGTCTGGGGAACAAGAAGGCATGATGCAGTCTCTCTTCTCATTCCCCAAAAGATTCCAGGGTAACTCAACAATGGACCCACAACACAAAATATTGATAAACATCACAGCTTGGCACAATTTTGGAGAACTGATGGTACCAGGTCTGCCCTCCTTCTCCTCTGCCTCAAAGCACTGGCACTTTCCAATACAGCAGGTGAGGCTGGAAAGTCACCTTTCCCAGCAGGTGAGAAGGATTGCTGGGCTAGGGAGGCCCACAGCAAGGGAAGCTCTGTTTTAGTTCAATGGGAAGGAGCACACACTTGAAGGCTTTGAGGTCCTAAAGGCGGCGCCTGCTTCGAAGACACAGAAGCAACTTAAAAGAAGTGTCAGTCTCAAATAACACTTGCAACAAGCACAAGAAAAGTCAGGATGTCTGCACATCCTGAAAACAAAATCCGGGTTTTTGATCCGGCTGTGCTTTCTCCCCCTCAGCTTCCCCAGGCTCTGCGAGGATCCCCTCAGGTTCGGGTCTCGGTCACTGGGCAGCAGCCCTAGAGTACATTATCTCCAGGACGGCGCTGCTCTGAAACGAATGTTCTAGGGTAGAGGTTAAACAGATCCATCCTGGGGCCTTGGCCCACCGATCTGTAAGAGGTTTCCCTCCAACCTAGCCGCCTCCGGGGGCCCTCGGCCTCCCCAGGTATACCCGCTGGCGAATCACCAGCCGCTTCCCGCAGGAACCTCGTCGGGATCCCGGCACGGCACTGATGGAGCGCCGGGAGCGCACCGCAGGCGCGAAGCGGCCGGTCAGGGCACACACCCGGGGCAGTTGGCCTCTGAAGCTGTTATTTCTAAGTCTGAAATCTCCCCTCTCCCTCCCCGAGTTCGTTCCAGAGACGGCCTTTTTAAACTGGCGTCTCCCGCGGCCGACGGCTTTGGAACGCGACCCCAAGGGTGGGGCGGGACTGCTGGACACTCCCGGAGGCTGACCCGCCGCCTCCACCTCCTGGGCAGGCCGCGGGGAAGGGCTCGCGCGCGCAGAGCCGGCGGGCGACCCCGTCTCAAAGGCAGGGCCTCACTGCCCCGGCTCTTCGCGCCCGACGACCCCCAACTCGCCGCCCTCTCCGCCCGGGAGCCGCCCGCGCCTCACCTCACGCAGCAGGCGCTCCAGGTGCGGCTCGGCCCAGGCGGCCAGGGCGTCCGGCGGCCCCGCGCGCCGCAGCAGCTCCCGCTCCTCCTCGAGCGCCGCCACCCGGCCCCGCAGCGCGGCCGCCTGGGCGCCCAGCAGCAGGCAGGCGACCGCCGAGCCCACGGAGAGCAGCAGGCACAGCGCGCTCACGGCCCAGGCCCCGGGCGCCGTCGCGGGGCGCTCCTGGCTGCCGCCCGCCGCCGAGCCGCCTTTGCGCGCGTCGCCTCCCGCCAGCTCTCCCCGGCTCATGGCGCGCTCGTCGCGCGTGGGTTCTCCGAGGGGGCGGTACCCAGCTGGGGCCGCAGACTGAGAGCGCGAGGAGCCGAAGGCAGAGCCCGGGGCGCGCGGTCAGGCGGGCGCGAGGTTTGGCCTCCGGGCAGTAGCGGATTGCGGCGCACGCCCCCTCCGCCGCAGGCAGCTCCGCCGCCGCGGCCACTTTGGGCAGTTTCCTCTATGCAAATAGACCCTACCAGAAAAGGAGCCGGGACCCACCCAGGGGAGGAGCGGCCCGGCCGGCCCCGCGCGGCAAGGGGGCGGGTCGGGAAAGGCATCGGCTCCTCCAAGCACCAGCGAGCGCCCAGCGGCCCCGAGCGCAGCGCACACCTCGCCCTCACCTGCCCCCTGCGCGCGGCTGCACGCAGCACCGCGCGCACCCCTGCGACTCCCCAGTCCCCGTACCCACTGCAACCCAAAAAGGTCCGAGGCAAGCCCAAGGATTCTAAGCGCCTCCTGCAGCCCAGCCCTGGGTCGAGCATCATTCGAGCCACGGGAAAGTTCCCCTAAATGTGTGAATTAACTTTTCTGTCACTTCTTAAAAAGTTGAGAACTCCCAACGCTGTGGAATTTAGTAAATCCGAGATAGATGGTGCCTTAGCGCCACTTGGTGGCCGAAAGCGACCTCTGCGCATCACGTTTAGAACGATAATCTGCGTAGAGATTGAACCAAGCAGAAAGATGCCTCTTTTTTGTTTTTTCATTTTGTCTTTATTTGCGACCAAATATATTCAAAATAAATAATGCTGTTCGGTTTAAGAAAACATGCAGGTGAGCTCTGGAGACGCCGTTCTGGCTGCACAGTTGCTATGAAGAAAACACCAGGCCCTGAGGCACCACTGCAACTCCTTAGGCCCTGCACCCTCCAGAGCTGGAGGAAGGATTTGGGGGCCCGTGGGGCTGCGGGACAGGTGCGCTCAGAGGTTTACCCAGATACCCCTGGAATGTGCACGCCAGCATGCCTCTTAGAATCTTAATTGTTTAGTATGTGCCAGACATACGGTGCTGGCAAACAGAAATTGTAAGAACTTGTTCCTGACCTAGAGAGGGCTTTCGTTGCGGAAAATTAACTATAACAAATGGAAATCATGGGGGAAAGAATGCCAGATTTTGTTGATAGCTTAATTCTGTAGTAGAAACACAACTTGGCCAAAATTAAAAAACCGTTATGCACCAAATTTAAGCTGTACTGTGTTTCTTCTTTAGCTTCCCACCACGGGGTTAAGGTGGGAAAATTGTGAGTGAAGCGGCTCTAACAGTCTTGGCAAGAAAGGGGAGAAGACCGGCAGTCAATGGGTTTTTCTACTGCTCACAGATTCCTTGCAGGCATATTTTTGTCCTACCGAAAAAGGATACTGTGCAAGAGTTTCCACCTGTTCCTGTAATAGATAAAAGATTACGCTAGCTTAAATCGTTATAATTTGGGCATCCCCACTACCTTTTTTTTAAAAAAGATTTATTTACTTATGCGTACAAGAACTGGGATACAGAACAGAGGCAAGGGTTGGGGGCGGGGGTAAGAGGATTCACCAGAAACAGAGTGGGGAACAGAACAGGCAGATTGACTGAAATACACTGCTGAGGGGAACAGCGGGTTGAGACAGAGAGGTCTGCTGTGCCATGTGGGTCACCTCCTTGGCCTGGGTTCGAATTTGCACTGCATTAGTTGCCTACAGCCTCCTAGTGCTGAGGCTTCACCCCTTGAGGCACCAGGAAGGCCCCCCACCACCGTTTTTGAGAAAAAGACCTGATATCTTCCCTCTCACTGTCTATTTTTGGATTATCTTCTGAGGCTAGGTTCTCTCTTAAAGCTGTTCAGACTCTTCAGCTGACATGTACAGGAGCCTGTACCTGCTGCTTCAGCTGGGGAAAATACCTCAGAAAGTGGAATAAAACAGAACATTGGCATTCTCCCCTCTGCCATTGTGTAGCTGTGAGCTTAAGTAAATCAGTGTTAGGATTAGGTGATGAGGCTTGGTGCTGTGCTAAGATCTAGGGTATGCCCGAGACATAGTCTGAAAAGTAGTTTGATCCTTGAGTAAGTGGGGAGTTAAGGGTGCTGACTCTGGAACATCAAAAATCCATATAAAACTTTAATTCCCCAGAAACTACCAGTAGCTTACTGCTGACCAATAGCTTGTTAGATAACAGAGCTGCTGACCAATAGCTTGTTAGATAACAAAGAGCTGATACACATTTTATATACAGTATTCTTACAATAAAGCTAGAGAAAAAAATGTTAAGAAAACCATAAGAGAAAATACATTTATAGCACTGTACTAGATTTATCAATACATCAGTTTACATCCTCTGTTAACAAGAAAATCTGCAGTTAAGTGTATTGGAGGAACAAATGTACTTGCTAAGCAAATGTACTTGCTAAGACAAAGTGATTGTCTACTTTGAAAAAAGGACACCATATTACAAGATATCACTTCCTTCTTACCTTAAATTTGAAATTGTCCATGACCAACCTGTTACCTCATGTGTGGTTCATTGTGTCCCTGAAGCGTCGGTAAATTGAACAAGCCAAGCTCATTTACCCCTTAAGCCTTTGCCCTTGACTACTACCTCACTATCTGGAATACTATGTACTCAGATCTTTGAACAGCAAGTTCTTCCTTATCCTTCAAGTCAAGGTCCCCCAGGTCATCAAACCTCACTGCCTCCCAGATTGTCCCAACTAAGGTGATCCCACTCATAGCCTCCTCCAGATTATTCAGGGTATCAGGCTAATTATTATTTGAAGTACCTTACAACTAATCCCTTGTCTTATTTGCCACTTTTCTAAAGAACAGAACAGTATCTGGCACATAACTGGTGTTCAATAATTATTTGTCAAGTGAATTAGGAAAGGTGAAAATGTTTACTTTTTACAATTCATTTTAAAAGCCAAAGGAGATACTGTATCTCATGTCATTTGGATTTCTGGCAGGAGCAGATGACATCCTCATGCTGAGGTTTGTTTCAATGTAGAGGTTCTTTACAAAGTGGGGCAGATTAAGGCAAGGCAACAGGGCATGCTAAAGAAGCACCTGGGGTGTCCCACCATCCCAGGCTGAAGGGGTGAGGGGAAGAACTTTCATGGGAACTATGAGAATGAATGCTTGGGGTGGTAAAAAGCTCTGCTCAACAGGAGTTGTGACCTTTGGTTCTACAAAACCTGAACCTCTCTGACCTCCTTCTGCTCTCTGACCTCCTGCTGGGGCCTCCCACTGACCAAACCCACAGGGCAAAGAAGCCTGGATGATGTTGGTGCAAAGAGGTCAGCCTCCTAAGGGTTCAATGAGAGGAGTGAAGAACAAATCTGGAGAAGGGGAGAAAAAGAATACTCATTGTATTACCTACATAACAAGCACATAGAATTTACTAAGGTCAATCTAGCTGCTGCTGCCTCGAAATGGCTAACCTGTCAACAATAGGCACTAATCCTCTGGGAGACCAGCTGGCCACCTGGTGGATTCCCCCCAGCCTGGAGGAAGGACCAGCGGTTTAGCCAGGTATAGGTACTTGAGGCCTGGGCTTTTTCCTGTCTGCGAAGTCTCAGCCAACAACACTATCCTTACAGAGTGCCCAGTCCACAGGTCTGGACTCCTGTACAACATAGCAGCCAGGCAAGAGGCCCACTCTTTAGCAAAGGAGGTGAGCCTAATGTCATGGACTTCACTGGCAGCAACCAGAAGCAGCCTGTCTCAGAATACTGGAGGTGCCATTTTGTAACAGGGTGGTCCCCAAGAAAGGGGGAGGTTCCCTGCCCTACCCAAGGGAGGGTGGAGCTGAGCAGGAAGAGGAGAAGCAGAAGAAGAGACGGAGGAAGGAAGCAGGATGGAGCCAGGAGACCTGGAGGAGGCGCATGGAGCCTAGAGACACGTGAAGAAACTGCGCTTGTCTTTTGGTCGTGGACTGGGTGACACAGATGTGGGTGAGACCCGTGGGGAGGTAACAATGGCAGCTTTTATCTTGATGTTGATTTTGCTCTTTTCCTTCCAGGCTTGTCCAGTTGTTTGTGACCCTTTTCTGTGGGTCCCCACTGGAAGATGCTTTAGACTTGTAGCAGGCTTTGGGGCCTTGCTCTGGGCCGATCCCATATGGATGGAGTTTTACCCACGAGGGGACGGGTAACTTTGGGTGCTTCATTTAGAAACTAGACTCTTTGCCTTACCTGTATTGTTTCCTAGTTTTTATTAAAGTTCCTTCCCATTAAAGTGTCATATGTTTTGTGTTGATGCGGCGGATGGCAGAACCCATTTAGAATAGGCAGGTTTGCGGGGTTTGGGCTGCCCCTCTCCCTGTCCTATAACAATTTGAAGGCACAGTGAAGCATCAGCCTGGATATTCAGTTATACTCTGAAAGACAGCAGTGCCATCTCTCAGAGTGTATATGCATTAAATCAGGAGCTGCTACATGATGCTGTGTTCCCAGTAATACATAGGTCCAGTAGAAACCAGAGGGAACTCCACTTATTATTGCTCCCCTGTGACTCTCTTGGAAGATTTGGGTCTTGCTGTCCCCACAACACTGGGCTCTGCAGGGTTGGAGGTCCTAGTTCCCCAGGGGCTTACACTCTTGCCTGGAGATAGCGATAAGCTATGACTGCCACCCAGAGTACTGACCGGATCAGTAGGAAGAGTTAGCTGATATGGTAGGGTCAGGGACAAATATCCAAGGAACCATGTGATACTGCTTTGCCTCATTCTGTGAACAGAAATGTTTAGCAATTGGCCCGAGGATGATGCCTGATAAGGACTGTTCAGGATAAAAGGGACATTATATTTTATGAAAGGAGGGATTGAGTCAGATAATATTAATAACCACTGCAGAAGATCATAAGTAATATTGATAATGAAAGGTTGAGATATGTTCAAAATGCTGTTTAAGGTGTCAGGGAAATAATTTTTATTTCCAGCAAAAATAGTTTAATTTGAGGCTTAACGGGATGAGCTTCAGTTACCTGAGAAAACTTACCTGGAAAAGACAGTGGGATATGGTGGGGAAAGCACCAGGTCTTGTCATGCCTACACTCCAGTCCAGCTACCGCTAATAGCTTACTATTTCAGACCCCCAGTTGTTTAGTTTCTAAAATGGAGATATATAGACAAGGACTAGATTTACTTTCTTATCTGAAATGACAGAAAATGAGATAAACTTTATGATATGGCAGTTTTCAAGACACTGGTTATCAGGCAGTTAAGGACAGTGGTCCTTGGGAGATGGGAAACAAATATAAGTGAGCCCAAGGAGTTCCCACTTTATGTGCTGGAGTTTCCCAGGGTACAATGCAGGGAGGAGAAGCCAGCAGAACCACCTCTGAGATGATCAGAAAGTTGTCTTTTCTAAGAGACCAAGGTAATGAGAATTTTCAAGGTAGAACTGGAGGGGAGAGAGCTGCAGAGAGAATTCTTCACCTGAGACCATCACTGTAGTGAGGAAAGAACAACCCAATGGGATGAGATTCTAAATCATTAGAGGAAACAATCCCCACAACTCACAAGAGGACAGAGATAGTCTTTCCCACCAACCAGCGTGGAAAACCTGATAGTTCAGTGGGCACTGGCTAGAGTACTCACAAGATTTTGTCTCAGTAGTGAGGAAAAACTAATCCTTAGATACAATGTTGTTTTAGTCCAAACAAAGCTTAAAACCCAAATCTGAAAAGACTGAATTGATTTCAAGTAATTTAATCATGTCCCATACTAAAATTCAAGTATATAGGAATATAAAAATATCTAGTATACAAAAAAGGTAAAACAAAGCAAGAAAAGATGACTATGAGAAAAAGTGACTAAAACCCACCAAGAGATGAGATAATATCAACAGACAAGGATAATAAAAGCTGTGACTGTATCCCCATACATTCAAGGAACTAAGAGGAAAGACTGAACGTGTTAAGTAGAGACATGGAAGTTTAAAAACAAAAACAAAAAATCTAAACCAAAATACCAGAATTAAAAATGACAATGTTTGAGGTTAAAAACACACTGGGTGAGATTAAAGACAGGTTAGAAACTGCGGAAGATAAATGACTTTGAAAATAGGAACTATCCAAGTGTTTCTTTGGAAGCACATATATTAAACTTGGAACTACACAGAGATCAGCACGGCTTCTGTGCAAGGATGCCACACAAATTTGTGTAGTGTTCCACACCAGATAGAAATAAGGATTTGAATAAAGGATTGAAGAGCAATGGAAACAATAACTATGTGGGTAAAAATAAGATTTCATATTATTTACATCTCTTTAAAAGATAATTAATTTAAAGCACAAATAACAATGTTTTATGGGATTTTAACATATACTACTACAAAGTCCAAATGGGAGAAATGGTAGTCTTTAAGATTCATTCACCACATTTGAAGAAGTATAATGTCACTTAAAGACTTACTGTGATAAAGATGTTTACTACTAACTCTAAAGCAACTGCCACACATTCTGTTTCTCTCACGTAAGTACAGTTATAGATGAAGTCATCAAGTGATCTAATAGTATAAAAAAATCCAAACCAAAGGAAAATAGGAATAAGGACAAAAGATACAGGATATAGGAAGACTGTAGATTTAAACCAAGCCCTACCAATAATCACATTAAATCTAAGTGATTTAAACACACAATAGGCAGATTGTCAAAATAGATTAATAAAAGCAAGACTAAACTATATACTTTCTACATAAAACTTTACAGATCAAAAAAAAAATCAAAACATTGGAAAAAGATATTCTATCATTAGAATGGAGATATTTCTGCTCACTTCACAGGGTTCCTATAGGATTAAAACCAAAAGTACAGAAACGTAAGTTGTAGACTATAGAACACTATATAAGGAATATAGGGACTGTATCAAGAAACAGTGAGAATAGCTACCATTTATTAGCATTTTATAATATAACTTAATCCTCACAACAATCCTTGGGAAATTATTTCTACTCATAGATGAGACCAGAAACTTGTTCATCTGCACAAGGAATTTTGTTATAATGTGTGCAATTTTGAGAACACACATTTTAGGTTACTGTGCAGGGGGGTGCTGGGAGACAATAATCCCTTGGCCCCCATCTACAATTACTCTTTAATTCATTACATGTGATAATAGTATCTGAAAGAATTAGACCTATGAGATGCCTTCCTCCAAGGCTATTTAAAGTGGTTTTAAGTCATCATAACAAAATCTATATATTTTAATTGTGTCTCTCTCAAGAATTATTATAAAAGCAAACTAAAACCAGGGAAGGAGTAGATAGAAGAAAACAGAGCTGAATAGTAGAATTTAATTGTAAACCAGTTTCTAGTTTCAGTGAAATAAAAACTACATTAGTCAAAAACAACTGAATTTAGTAATTCTTGCTGTCATAAACAATAGTGTGAAGTAGTCATCAGGGTTAAAGCAGTTATAGAAGACAAAGTAAATGCTATTAGTAGTAATACTATAAGCCCCAGGTTATCTGCTAGATGCTTTAAATCACTCTGTAATGTAGATGTTACACCTAAGAAACCAAGCAACAAGTCACTTGAAAATAACACTCCCCTGAACAGAGAGAAGACCTAGGACTAAAGTTGAAATTATTCTTATAAATGTGAATTCCTTCAATTCACTGAACTGCTACCCAAGGAATGAGATGATAGGTAAAAAATGAACGATTTCACACTAGAGGCTTGATTAGGTCCAGAATTGTTTTTTTTCTCCCAAAGTCAGTATTTTGTCACGGTGCTGTGTATTTCCTCTTGCATCACCTCAGAAGCACATCAGGACATCACCTGGTTGTCAATCTGAGGTTTTGATATTATTAACCTGATGCCTACCTTATAAAGTCCTCCATCAATGGCTGGGATCAGTGAAATAAGCCACTGGTGCCTGTAACCACTATTAAAGAGTTGCAACATAGTATATTTTTAATATCCTCTCTGTATATTATTAGAAGGTATTAAAAAGTCCCTTCATTAACAATCAGTTTACAGGATAAAAGGGGGACTATGAGATATGGACACCGTTCTTAACTATCAATTTTTAACATGGGAAAGTTTAACACAAATGACCCAGTGTTTAAGACATGATATTCATGTATTAGCATTGTGTGGACCCCGGTAAGGTTGAGACTCAAAATAAACCAACTACAAAATGACATTTCGAGACAATTACGAAATTTTAAATGTGGACTCAATAATAGATATCATTGTCAGGTGTGGTAAGGCCCATTTTTATTTAAATAAATTTAAGGGCCATTTGTATTCAAATGGCAAATTTAAATTTGTATTTAAATACAAGAAAATAAGTTGAAGACTAGATGAAATAAAACTTGCAAAATATTAATTTTTGAAACTGGATTAATGTATTTAGAGTTTCATTGTTCTATTTTACTTTTCATTGTACTTTTTAGAACAGATCATTCATACAGAATTAGCCAGCTTCCAAAGATTTCTTCTTTTACATATATATCTCAAAAGACTGAACTGATTGAAGTGTAAAACAGGACTTTTGAACTTTACATTCCTTCTACCTTAAAAAAGACAAAAAACAAAAGCAACCAACCAAATAAAACTTTACCTTAAGAATTTAGCTGGACAATTCTACTCCTCGGACTCTACCCAAAAAAACATAAAAACCTGGTTTTACAGGTTTTTGCATTATTTACAATAGGTAAGATCCGGAACCCAAATGCCCAAATATAGATGACTGGATCAAGATGTGGTATATATACACGATAGAATACTATTTAGCAATCAAAAAGATAAACTCATGCCATTTGCAGCAACATGGATGGAGCTGGAAGGGATTATGCTCAGTGAAATAAGCCCGAAGGAAAAAGAAAAATAATGAATGGAATGTAGGAGGAATGTAGAGGAACCATATAAGGGATCAGGAAAAAAAAAAAAAAGAATTAGCAGGTAACTATAACTATAAATCAGAGACATTCTGCAAGGGAGGGGGAAGCAGAAGGATCAAAACAGGGAAGGGAAGAGCACAAGAAACTATGGTGATGGTGGTGGGAATTTTATGGGGATTACACCTGAGAGGAGAAATCATAAAATTGCACAAAAATGAACAATGATGTAAATTATATTTATAAATATTAAGAGAAAAAAAGGTTTCATCTTCACTCCATGGACCGCCCTCATTTTATTATCTGCATCTGCTTAAGCCTACATCCCATGAAGATAACCATCACCCTGAATAGTGCATTTACTCCTGTTTTTGAAAGTAATATATACTTTTAACTTTTTTTTGCCTTGAAGGTTTATAAAAATGGTAACATATTAAAGACTGTCTAGCAGTTTGTTTTTATTCACTCAGTATAACTTTTTAAAATTGAATTTTTCCAGTGTAGCTTTATTTCATTTTCTGTTATGTTCTATTTCACTATTTAAAATACACAATATTTTATCCTTTTTCTTATCAATGACCCTTTATGTTGATTTTTTATTGAAAACAATGTTGTAAAGAGAACTTGTATATACATTTAACACGAATTTCTCTAGAAGGTGTTCTAAGTATGGAATGACTTCACTCTAGTGTGGTATCTAGATAAAACAAACAGATGAAATAAATAAAACAAAAATAAACTTTTGGACTAGTTCTATTAGTGATTACCAGAAAGTAAGAGGAAAGAAGGGTGGGTAAATTGGGACAAAGAGGGCAATGGTATGATGGATAGAATTGAACTTCTGGCAGTTAAAAGTAATGTAGTACATACACATTGAGTCTCATCAATGAACATTTGAGACATATAATGCAATGTTACTTCAATAAAAAGGAATTCTTCCTTATTTTAAAATGCAAAGGAATTTCTATTTGCAAACACATAACCTAATAATCGAACAATTACTGATTCACAATGAAATTTGAAAATGTAGCTTGCTAATTAGCACTGGATAAATTTAAAATATTTAACTTCCATCAAATTTTGAGGGAATCAGAAATCCCAATCTGAAGAATTAGAAACTCAAGTCACCTGACACTTTATTCCAGAATGTCATTTTAAGTATTAGTACCTGTCTGCCTACTTAATGTTCTGAACGACCATACCATTTAATGATTGCAACTACAGTTCAATTAAGAGTAGTGAAGTGTGAATAAATAGAATTCATGTAATAACACTATTAGCCATTACTTTCCACTTCATCCCACTTCACAGCAAAGTGGTTTTTGACTCAAAGAGGTACATTATTACAGGAAAGCACAATGCTAGAATCTAGGAAACTTAAGTAACAGTTAAGTCACAATTATTGGGAGAAGTGGACAAGTCATTTCCAATTTCTCTACCATCTAATCCTTCCAAGATTACTCAGAGGAAGTTTTCAATTTTTAAAAACTGATCATGCATCACCTGATGATGGAACATGTTCTGAGAAACACGTTAGGCAATTTCTCCTTGTGTGAATGTCAGCAGCAATTACACAAACCTACAATGGTATAGTCTATTGGGAAAACCATTGTATATGCGATCTGCCTTTGATCAAAACCTCACTAGGCCATACATGCCTGTATAAAACTTCATAGGGTAGTTGACAACTATCACCCAAGTAATAAGATTGCAGGATTCAATTTTATGTACTCTGAAAACTTTGATGAATGCATGAAGAATGAGAATAGCTAATAAGTAGGAGCAAGAAAGTACTAGAAATAACCTAAGATCATGTTTAAAAATGCCTCATAAAAACCAACTTTGTAAAGGAATTTCCAGAAAATATTATAAGGCATCAAATTATTAAGAAAAATACCCAATTACAAATTACCAATATTTATAACTTTCTCACTCAGTGCTGAAGCTCCTGGCATTGTCAAGTAAAAACCTGGCACTTTCATAAAGTTAAGTTCAGAAGTACAAGGAAAAAGGCAGTGTGCAAAGGAGGAAGGTCACTAAAACCCACTAAACATTTCCTGCCTTATTATTGAAGTTTCTTTTTAATTCCTAAAATTCCATGAATTAGGTCTAGTAATTAGCAAATACCTTTGTGAAGAATGTAAATACTTTTTAGAAAGGAAAAGGATGTGAGCAATCATTAACTGCTTAGAAATGTGGGTATTTGCCTTTCTTCCTATATCCTGAGAGCAGCTACTCAGGTAATGAATTTCTCCTCTAGGGGAAAAAATAATCAATTTGGGAACTTGATAGACTTGTAGGGAAAGGATGGGAAGTTTAGGTAATACAGTAGTAACCTGTAGAATGGAAATGGAGGAGAAAATAAAGGATGCCAGACATTTTAATCTGATAGCAACATTGCTAAATCTATTGACAACCTTTTCTTTACATCAAATGCTTTCCAAAAAATCCTCATTACATTAATATAGTTCATCTATTCTGAAAGTAAATTCACTACATGTGGATGCTTAAAGGTCTAAGCATATTTTATGCAGTGATTCTATGGTAAAAGTTCAGCTTTCTTAAATTCCTAGTCAACTTTTCAAATACAGTATTCACTGGCAAATGCCGCCAGTGAATAATGTAGGAAATCAACCCTGGTTTCATCATGTCATACAAAAAAGTCCCATACATTTTGTTTACAATACACAGATAAAACTCAAATCATTTGTGAAATTCATTTTAAAACTGGGGATACTTTTTAAACAAAAGTATCTGCACTTGAATAAACAATTATGAATTCTATGACAAAAAATATCTCTACCTGGCAGCTATCAAGAGTTTTTGTTTCTTACGTAAATAAAATAACATTTACCATGTAGTTTTTAATGTGAAAACAGGTAACAGTAAGAAAAAAATACAGGCAAAGAAAAATGTCCAGCCAACCAATCAATGTTTGGAAATTTCTGCAGGTTTTTTCCCCACAAAGTATATCCTAATCAAATCACTCTTCGGGAAAGATTAACACAAATATAAACTGTTTTAGTAATTTAATTCTCATAGGCTGAGGTTTAAGTATTTCCTTCATTTGCTAAGGAAATAGCATTAGACAATTTCAGGACTCCAGATTTGACATCAAAAACTAAAAAGCTAAGTGTCTCCAAGAAACAACAAATTCCTCTTTCTATGTGACCTACCACATAAAGTAGCTCTTGGAAAATATGACTTTCCAATTAGATTTTATTCTTAAATGAAGTGTATACGTGGTTTGATTAAACAGCTATCACAACAGACAAACTAGATGTCTTTTGATGAATACTTGTTGCCGTTTACATCAACCCAATGAGTATACAACACTTGATTTAATGAAATTCCAACAATAAACATTTCCTATGTGTTTTAGTTACTAATATCTGCCTACCTACAGTTAATAATACTACCTGCTCAACAATGATTAAAAAATTTTTTTAAAGTTAAAAAATTTTGAACTTGAGGGCATATAAAGAATATTCACTTAAGAATAAAGTAGTCAAGATTTCCTTTTACTCAAATTACTTCAAAGAGTTGACCTCCATGTACAAAAGACAAGATCAATTACATTTATCACTGGACACACAGAATATTCCAAAGGTCTTTAAAAATGGTAATTAATCTCAAAAAGGAAAATTAACAACTTTTAACTTTTATATTTCATTATCAGGAACATACTTGCTCAACAAGATAATTATGATAGATACAAAACATACAATATGTACACTTAACTGTACAAAATAATTTAATGTTTACAAAAATATTAGAATGTTTAGAGTTGACTGACGCAGTCTTAAGTAAAATCTCTTTATAGAAGTGTGTGTGTGTGTGTGTGTGTGTGTATATATATATATATATATAGACCACTGATTTCCATTTCATTTCTGTTTTAATAAATCAAAGAAAGGATGCTGCAATGCTTCATCCAAAGTAATTCTTTTCACTGGATCATATTCTAACATTCTTCGTACCAGGTCAAATAGTTTCTCATGTTCTTCATCATGACAAAGCATAAATTCCTGGGGGAAAAATGTTTTTGTTTTGAGAATTTAAAAAATAGTTAAAAGGCCTCCATGGTGACCTAGGGTTATGTCTCAGCACTATCACTGCTATGGCCTGAGCTGGATCCCCAGCAGCAGACCTGTCTCGCCCACCGCTCCACTCAGCAATATATTTAAGTAAATCCACCTGTTCTGCTCCTCACTCTGTCTCTGGTGAATCCTCTCACCCCAAGTACCTCTACCCTACACCCCAGCTCTTCTATGCAAAAAAAAGCATTGAAAGTGCTTTTTAAATCTTTAAAACTTTTTTTTTACCTTTAATGGTTTGCAGCGCCTTCTAACATATCTACCAGCAGAACTATGTTCATCCCAATCTAGCTGGTTATGGTGAAAATACTTGCGTTTTCTATAGGAAAAAGAAGTTTAGGTTAGTATAAATAACACCCACGTTTACCCTGCTCCCACCAGATAGAAGCATAAGTATCTCTAGATAGACATATAAACATACATAGAATTTTAAAAAATCTCAGCAACAATTATATATCAGACACATTCTATATTATCTTCCTTAATCTTACACACTCTGAGGCAGCATATCCCATTTAAGTTGTCCCCAAATACCATATATGAAACAATGCCAGCTGCAAAGAGAGGCTCCTGGAACCATTCCAGTAAATTCTGATTTCACCAGATGGGGCAGTTGGAAATTTATGGAATATTTAAAGAAGTAACTCCCTACTGGCTTTTGTGGTGAATCTCTTCGGAAATCACTATAGTTACCTTGTTCAACGACATACATATAACTGGTCAGCAATAGTATGAAATTCAAATTTACATTTAGAGTCCAAATCAAATTCCTTTGAAAAACATTTCACTTGAAAGTAAAAAAAAAAAAAAAAAATACTGTTTACTAGATTACAAGGCAAGTATTACATTACTTTCAAATATGCAGCCTTTCAAACAAGAAATAATGAAGTTGGGTTTTCTGTCATTTGAATATAGGGCACTGTATGTCTGTAATAACAAAGGGCTTTATTCTTAAGGCATACCTTGTTTTCTGAATCATGTGTGTTGGTATGGGTCCTAATATTCGTTCCATCATTGCCAGGTGCTCTTTACTATCATGGGTCTAAGAAACAGGAAAAGGAAATTTAACACATTACATTTCTCTACATGTACAATATACTGACAAAAAGGACAGCAACACAACTTATATTACACTCCACTTCAAAGATCAAACAATTACTGAGTGAGCTTACATTGTCTTGTACAAACCCAATAAACCTAAAAGTCTTTCTAAAAATGATCAAAAAGGTTCTTAGCAGATGAGGTAACACATATATTTAATTGAAAAATGAAGTGTTTATTTTGTAGTTCTTGCACTGTTTAACCTAGGAAAGAATGGGGAAGGTTACCAGAAAAAACGTTTTCCTCATTTTTAACCAAAATTAATTTCAATTACCCAATGAGTAACAATACAGTAACATTTACTAACCCTAGGCAATACACTTCCAGTAATTCTCACATTAATCCTAAATGAATTAAGTGGGAACAGGAGTTTCATAGCTTAAGGTCATATAGCTCATTAATGAGGAAAAGCTGAGCTTTGAACCCTAGTCAAAACTTACACTCTAAAACTGTATCATAATAGAGACCTTTGGCTAACAGAGAACAGAGAAAAACTGTCAAAACTTACACTAGAAATGCTACACTCCTAGAGCAGAGGTTAGCAAGCTTTTTCTGTAAAGGATCAGATAGTAAATGGTTTATTTAGGTTTGGCTGGTCACAAGTACTTTCTGTGTCATGTTTTTTTAACATATATATCCAAAAGGGCAGGTTTATTATGAAAAAGGTAGAGAAGGATAAAGGACAGTGGCATAAACACAAGCAGCAGAAAGAGCTGCTCCAAAAGGGACAGGTTTTGCTAAAAGAGAGGCCTGCAAAGTCACAGGTGAGCAGGCTTGGGAGGAGAGCTGCCTCTGCTGCTTTGCAAAGAGGTCAGTGAAGAGACATACCGGCTAAGTCACAGGTCATAGGCAGGGAGAAGGTGCACTGCTCCTACTCTAGAAAAGGAAAAGGTTGGTGAAAAGCACCGGCATAGTCACAGGTGGGCAGAAGGACTGCTGCCTGTCATGGTCATTTTTTTAAGTGATGTGTCAGGTAGGGTAGTTTGCCAATCCTTGTTCTGGAGAGGAAAGGCTATGTGTTTACTTTTATCAACTACTGTGCTGTCAAAATTTATAACAAGAATAATACTAGCCCACATTTAAACAGTTCCTTAGCAGAAGAATTTATTTATTTATTTATTTATTTATTGCTTGCATGGAAGAACTGGGGTGTAGGCCAGAGGTGTGGGGGGAGGGTAGGGTGAGAGGATTCACTAGAGATAGAGTGGAAGCAGAACAGAAGGCAGAAGGATCTACTAAAATACACTGCTAAGGGGAGCAGCGGGCAAGAGGAGAGGTCTGCTGTGGATGTGGGTTAGCTCCCTGGCTAGGGATCCAACTCATGCCGTAGTGGTGAGACTTAACCCCTAGGCCACCAAGGAGGCCCAAAATACTTAGTATTTTGAACAGGATTGCTAGAGATTAGATAGAAGCAGAAGTCTGGTGAAAGTGCCCCACAAGTAATGAACACATACATTCTGCAACAGCGATCTTAATGACTTTTGGCACACTGTAGCTTCCTCCCCATCCAGCATTGCTGTAACCTCAAATCCACCTCAACAGTATAAGCAAGGATCTCCAGAATCCCACCCTCTCCCCAACCACAAAACCTTGATCATATCAAATAATCCTAATGAAAAGTCCTTCAATGGTGGCACTACCGAAAGCTTTCTAGACTTTGTTTTCAGGTGGAAGTAAAATTATGAAAAATTGGAGACTTAAATAAGATTTCCTACTTTTTGTTTTGTTAAATAAGGGCTTTTATTTAAAAACCCCAAGAAAGGGATATTATTATTCCCCCCAAAACAGGAAGGACAATCTCTACTTAAAGTCAGAATGGCAACTGTACAAAAATAATTTTCATTGTAGACCAGTCTACATTTGGAAACCACTGATTTGACAAAACAAATACTTTTCTTTAACAAACAAGTCCTTGTGTATTGCTGCAATTTTTCCATTTATGCTCTATTCTGTACATTGTTTTACACTTTTATGCCTTTACCAATATGATTTCTTCAATCTGATGTGACCATCGTGCTCTCTAGTTTTCTGAGAAACTGCTACTCTTCCTTCCAGCAATGGTTTAAACCTAACTCCTCCTGTTTACCCTTCCTGGCTCCTCTCTAAACTTTCTATTTTATTCCATTATAGCAAATACCACATTATACTATAATACTGTTCCCATGTTTTTCTTTTGCATGACATTCTTGAGGATGAAGATGTTATCTTTTCATCTTTAGATACTTAGTGCTTAGAAATGTGCCTAGGGGATCACAGATGTTTCAGAGTAAGATACAAGTTATTTTTCTTAAATTCTTTTATAAAAGGGAGTGACAGTCAAAATAACTAGAACTGGCCACAGAAATCCTAATGTAAATTTATGAAGGAGCTCCAAAATAAGAAATGGAAACATGAGAGCGACACACATGCAAAATGAACAGTGACTATTCACTGAGTAACTTCATTCAACTATGGTTTTAGAAAATAATGACCACAACACTGTGGCCACTTTCCAACATGGAAGCCAAAAAATTAACACGCCTGGAACATTTGAAGTTCATTAAGAATTATTAAATGTTATTTACTAAATACATACCTGAAAGACTGTGAAACCAAGGTAATATTCGATAAGAATACAACCTATGCTCCACACATCACATGGTTGAGACCAACCTAAAGCTATTCAAAAACAAAAACACTTATTATACACCAATTTTTAATTACTAAGAACCAAGTTATTGCCTATGAGTGTTCTCTTTAAAGTGCCCATTTATGAGAATACAGCAGTAAATTCAATGTGCACATTTTCAATTGAATATCAAAAGTTAATGAGTATGCTGTCATAGTCCTTCAGACACTGGTATCAAATTAGTGTTTTAACTTGGAGAAGGGTACATTTTACACAAAATAAGAGAGGCCCTACCAAATACTTTCTAAGTATAACCACCAAATATTACAGTCTAAACTTGCACAATGGGAAATACTGTTATAACCCACTTTAAGGTTGTTCCAGCAAATTTTACATTTTGTTAGTGCAAATATGAACTAACAATTAGCCTCAGAATGCAATTACTAGCCCTTTACCAATTATCATCAGCTTGATGACTGAGTTTTACTATTTCCAAAAGAAAAATACTATAGTCTTACATAAATTATTTAAGAATTAATGGATATTAAGCACCTATAACTAGAATTTTTGGAGTCATTTAAAGTTCACACAGAGAGGGTTCTAGCTCTCCCATTTTCAGGCTGTCTACATGCAATCACTTAGACTGTCTCCTTCAGAATTCTCAATGGCAACATTATTCAGGACAAAACTAAACAACTAGCCTTAAAACTCTACTCACTGGAAAGGCAAAGAATAAACGTGATATTTTAATCTGTAAATTTTAAGAGTAAATGTTTAGTAGAGCGATAATGCATAAATAAAACCTACTCTAAATTACTTTCACTAATTACTTTCAATTACTCAATTACTTCACTAATGTCACTAAATTCAAAGGCAGAAACAATATACTCAATAGCCTTGACTCTGATTTAATCCTTTGTTAGGCTTTACAGTGTCTATCATTTCAACAAATGGAGCCCAGTTTTTACTTACAGTAACATACACAAAATGTGCAAATGGTAAGGGTTTTGCTTGAAATTTCCACTTGAACCCCCCAGTCTAGCTTTGTCCTCAGGTGACTGAAACCATCTACAGCACACCATTCTAAATACATCACATTTTCTGATGAGTCAATTTTCATGTTCATAGTAAAGACTTTACATCAATCCCTTTCAACATACCCTCTCCCCAACTATTGCACCTGGCATGTTCCTCACATCCTAGTTCTGCCTTAGTCCTTAGGAATATTCCATGAACAAGGGACCCTCCTAATCTAGTTTCTTTTCCACAAGACCAGCAACCCCAATTTCAGATTCATATCAACTATCCCAAGACTGGCCACACTTGGAACTTTATTATACTTTACCCAATTTAAAAGGTAATTAACCATAAGATGTGCCACTGTCCTATGTAAAATAACAAAGAAAAAAGGCTAATTGTCTTGTACTATGTCTTCATGTTATAGCATAGGGGGAAATCTGCATGTTAACACGGATGCAACACAGGAAGTTACCTCCTTTCAAGTTCTAAAAATACTTGCCCACAACCTCTTACTATATTCCTTTCTTGTACTTCATTGCAGCCTTCAGTCTGCAACTATGAATATACTCTAAATATTACTTAAGAGTAGCACGCTAAGCTACTAAAACACAGCAGCTCCTTTCAGACCACACTACATAGAAATCCTGTATGATCACTTCAAAGACAAGTTCTTTGTAGCCCAGTATGTAGCCTCTAGCACATGCAGTTATTTCAATCTAAAGTTTTATTTAATAAAAATTTTAAAATTCAGTTCCTCAGTCACACTAACTACATTCCAAGTGCACAGTATGGCATGTGGCTAATGGCAACCACAGTGGACAGTACGTAGAACATTTCCATCATCACAGAAAATTCTACTTGATTTCCTTACCCTTTTATAAATCATCTACTACTCTACGCAGACATCTTTAGTTTGCTTTCACATTTATTCTGAATTACTAAGTGCCACTGGACAAAAATAATGGTAGAAGATAGAAACTAATTCCTTAAAAATGTTTTACTATCCAACATTAGTTGGAACTTACTTTTGATTGTTTATTTACTTTTTAAAAAGATTTATTTATTTATTTATACATGCACTGGGTACAGTCAGAGGTGTGGGAGGGTGAGAGAATTCACCAGAGCCAGAGTGAAGAGTAGAACAGGCAGAGTGACGAAGTACACTGCTCAGGGGAGCAGAGGGTGGCAGGAGAGGTCTGTGCGCCATGTGGGACCCTTGCCGGCGGCCGGGGATCGAACCGGCACCGCAGAGGCTACAGGCAGCTTTGCAACCCAGCGCTCAACCGCTGTGCCACCAGGGAGGCCCTGATTGTTTATTTTTTTAAACTATATCCCAGCTGCATCTCACCTGAAATTTTCCCACTATTGCCAAACCCCCAGTTCCAGCCTAACTTCCCTGCTTTAATAACATGACCACTCAACTTTTAAATTTTGAGATAAAATGCATACCACCTTACTGAGTTCTCACATTTCAAGAATGTGAGATTATTTAACTTACTTTCTTTTCCAGTCTTTCTCACGTGAAGGATTATCAAAGTGTTCCTTTTAGACTAGCCTTTCTTCTATTCACCTCCATCCACCCTGTATTTAGATATCTGACAACTAAACCTTTACATCTTTCACAAGTACCACTGCTTTTGTGATGACACAAAAATAGAAATACATGCCACTTCAAAATCTCATTGCTGTGATGTCCTTAGTCACTCTTATGATTTTATAAGATTAGTTTGTTCAAACATCACCACCTAGAATATCTTTACAGATGGTATCACATTTTTCCTACTCAAGTATTTACAGATACATCTAGTTTTAATGAAAGTAGAAAATACTTTCTGTCCACTAAGAAAATCACACCCGTCTTGCCACATACCCTCAAGCTCTCCCCACCCCCCAAAAAGTTGTAGAGAATAAAATCTTTTCTTCAATCACAGTATCAGGAAGTCTGGTGTCTACTGACCCAAAATGACCTCTGGAGCTCTATAATGCCGTGTAGACACTAAAGTGCTATGATGTTCATCATCGTATGTTGCACTTCCAAAGTCAACAACTTTGATGTCTGTGTTTTTCAGCGTTCGTTCATCACGTTTCTACAGAGGCATGGTTGGGTAAAAATAAAGGTGAATAAAGATAAATAATTTATAGCACTATTCAAAAAGGTTTGCACAGAATTACCTTTCTAATTTTCAACATAACCCCACAAGTAAGGAAAGGTGGTTATCTTTTTTTTGGTTAAACAGCAGGATACAATGAACCTCAGAATGACAGTCCTCATCCAAGGATCATTAACCTAAATTAATTTTAAAGACAACTGCCAAAACTAAAATAAGTATGTAACTTACCATTTTAGAATTATATTTGACTACATAGTCAGACTTCACAAATAAAATATTTTCAGGCTTCAGATCTGTATGGGTTAATTTATTATGATGCAAAACTACAAGAGAACAAAAACACTAATTATTAGTTTCACTTTAATCTGTACTGGGGGAGGAGGAGGGAAGATTAGCAGTGATATAGGGGTCAAGTGAAATTTCACTTCTAGCTCTATTTTCAGGGACAATATTCTAATATATTGCGTGCATAATAAAAACTTTTTTGTGTGTGTTTAAAGTTATCAAGTATACTCACAATTTATTGACTGGCAGATCTGATATGCCATCTGCCTGATGTGGTCAATCTGAAATGGCAGAAAGCTATTTTCTTTAATGAAATCATAGGTACTAAGTCCCAGCAGTTCAAACACAATACAAACATGGCCATGATGATCAAACCATTCAAGCATCTGGACACATCGACTAAAAGAGACCAAAATGAAAATAATTCAGTTGCTAGAATTCAGATTATTTCATGTAACATGAAAGGATCATAGTTCAAGTTTATACTTACAAGACACTATTGGGGTCAGTACTATTCAAGTGCTCCAATACTTGGATTTCTGAACGAGCTGCTTCACGGTATCGCCCTACATTTTTTACAATTTTCACTGCTACATGTATGCCATCCCTTAAAAACAAAATTAAAGTGAAAATGGTAAATGTACAGGGAGGGAGCTGATTATCCTCTAACACATAATCTTTTTTTTTTTTTTTTTTAAATAGAGGCATGTTTATTTATTTATTTATTTGTTTGTTTGTTTGTTTGTTTTGTTTTGTTTATACATGCACTGGGTACAGTCAGAAGCGCGGGAGGGTGAGAGAATTCACCAGAGCCAGAGCGGGGAGCAGAGCAGGCAGAAGGACCGAAGTACACTGCTGAGGGGAGCAGCGGGCGGCAGGAGAGGTCTGCGCGCCATGTGGGAACCTCCTCCAGTGGCCGGGGAGCAGCCGGGGATCGAACCGGCACCGCAGAGGCCGCGGGCAGCTTCGCAACCCAGTGCTCAACCGCTGCGCCACCGGGGAGGCCCTAACACATAATCTTATTAATTATCAATTACTCTACGCTATTTTTCTAAAACAATCTTTTAGGGTATATTATAATAAATTCATATAAACAATCTTTTAGGATATATTATACTAAATTCATATAATTTATTTCTAGAATCTTTTGACAAAATACACTTTATATGAAGTGATGGCTCCCTTAATACTTATGAATTGTTTAAAATATTTATTTACGCATACCAGAACTGGGGTACAGGCCAGAGGTCTGGTGGGTGAGAGGATTCACCAGAGAAAGACTGGGGACCAGGAAAATTGAAACACACTGCTGAAGGGAGCAGCAGGCGAGTCAGGAGAGGTCTGTTGTACCATGTAGGTTGCTCCCTGGCCGGGGATCGAACACATGCAGCAGTGGCTGCAGATAGCTTCATAGGTTGCGTCTTAACCCCTTGTGCCACCAGGGAAGCCCAATACTTATGAATTTTAATGTTATTTTCCAGAATTTTAAATTTAACTAGATTTTATACAAAAGTTAAAATACACACACACCCTTGACTAGAATATTGCTGAAATTTTCAACATAACCCCTAGACCTACCCTGTGCCAGATAGAGCAGAGGTGTCAATGATAAAAAGATAGGGCTTATTCCTGTGTATTCAGCCTGATGGAAAAGTGAACAACTTATAATAAGGTCAGAAGTGCTTGGTGTGAGGTACTAGGGAGTAGGAGAGGGAAAGCCTAATCATTAGGGGGTTATGGAAATTCAGACTTCTTCAAAGAAGTGACACACAACTATTAGGTCCTGAAAAACAGCTGTAGTTTGCCAGATTTGGGAGGAAGAGGAACATTTAGGCATAGGAGACACCATCAATTAAGTCATAAAGCTAAGAAAATGCTGAGTACATTCACTGATGCAAGTAGGTATAAATAGCTACTGTATGTGGCATGGAGCCATGACCCAAGGGCTGGGGAAGCTGTGACACTTCCTCGGAAATACATCGCCATGAATGATTTTGAATCAGTGGGTTTCAAATCTTCAGCTTCCCGTCCTCCTCTTTGAAATCTGATCTTCCTGAAGATAAGCCAGCATACAAACCTCTTTTTTTACTATGGTCCTCCCATTTTATGAAAGAAAATATCATCTATTAGTATGTCAAGACTATGCTCCAGGTGCTAATAAATAAGAAGCAAACAAATTGTTCTAGTGGCTGAAGAGCAACTTTTTTGCTAATCTGATGCTTTCCAAATCATTGCTCTCAACCACTGGAAATAATCAATCATTAAAGATTTGTTTTAGTGACAACCTTATAGTGTTTGACTTAAAAAAAACTTTTAAAATTGCTATGACAAAAATCCTTCTAGTTTCATCTATTTACTTATATGACACAAAGTGTTCTTGTGTATAGCTATAAAAATAAAAAAAATAGAAAGACTTAATGCTAAAGCACTAAGAGGCATTTACTTATGGATACATGTATTCATTTTTTTAAAAGCCCAACCATCCCAATCAAAGATAACATGTTCAATTAAATTTTATATTTTAGGTCTAACAAATATAAAATTTGTAGTAATTTGTATTTAACTGAATAACACTAATTGAAACATCTTGATTAAATACTTGATCTTGGAATCTTAAGAAATTTTAAAAGGATATACATTTAAAATTCATGAAATTCAAATACGCTCCACAGATTAGCTAGCAAAATTTGAAAATGTAACATATGTATGTATAGTTAATGATACAGTGAATGCCATGAAATATTAGTATTTGGGGAATCTGGGTGAAGGGTAAATTGGAATTATTTGAACTATTTTAGTAACTTTGCTGTAAGTCTGAAAGTATTTCTAACTATTTTAACATTCCAATTTATGTTTCTATTTTTGCTGCAGAGAAGATAGGGTGATAAAGATACTTAGAATAACATTCTCTCTGGAAAATGGAACAAAAACAAATTTTAGAATGAAACATTTCTAATTATTCAAGTAGAGTTTGTTCCTGGATGATGTTAATCTAAGAAGCTATAATATTTACAGTCCCTCAAAGACATTTAAAGAGAGGCTTTTACTTTAAGCTGGAAATTACATCCTCCCAACTATTTTATGATGAAAGATTTTAGGTGTCAATTTAGAGCTAATATAGCTCACTGAATTGTTTTAAAAAGTTCAGTTACCAAAGGTCTGCAAACCACAAAATAGAGGTCCTAGAGGAAAATGTCAAAGTCAGGCAGAGAAGTCAAATTATAAAGAATCTTGACTCTATCCTGTAGGTCTTTCCAACTCTCTTACAGGGATAATAGCCTAAATTTTGTGAAACTTCTTCATGAGAACATCCACTTTATTTTTTTTTAAAGATTTATTTATTTACGCATACAAGAACTGGGGTACAGGCCAGAGGTCTGGTGGGTGAGAGGATTCACCAGAGACAGGCTGGGGAACAGAACAGATGGAATGACTGAAATACACTGCTGAGGGGAGCAGCGGGTGAGTCAGGAGAGGTCTGCTGCACCATGTGGGTCACCTCCTTGGTAGGGGATTGAACTCGTACTGCAGTGGCTGCAGATAGCTTCATAGGTTGCATCTTAACCCCTTATGCCACCATGGAGGCCCTGAACACTCACTTTAAACAGTTGAACACCACCTGATCAAAATTTGTACTCTAAGTAAAGAAATTAGACACAGGGCCTCCCTGGTGGTGCAAGGGGTTTAGACATGACTTATGAAGCAATCTGCAGCCACTGCAGCATGAGTTCGATCCCCGGCCAGGGAGCAACCCACATGGCACAGCAGACCTCACCTGCTGCTCCCCTCAGCAGTGTATTTCAGTCAATCTGCCTGTTCTGTTCCCCACTCTGTCTCTGGTGGATCTTCCCACCCCCCATGCCTCTGGCCTATACCCCAGTTCTTGTATGCATAAATAAGGAAATCTTAAAAAAAAAATTAGACACAATTCAAAAAGTGTTGATTATTTATACCTCTCGGGAACCAAGTGGCTACCACTTAAAATAACATTTCTTCTAACTTATGGCTCCTTCTCTACCCAAAATACCAGTGTTCATAAAAGGATAAGAAAAAAAACAAAGACAACAAACTTACATGCCATGATCAATGCATTCTACAACTTTGCCAAAGGCCCCTTCACCCAAAGTATCCACGATTTCATCTAAAGTGAAGGGGAGGGAGAAAGAGGTGTAAGTACTTGAGTACAATTTATATAGTTAATCAAACATGAATGCTTAAGTGTGGAATATTGCCAAATGATTCTCTATCAAAGCATAACTAAAGTTTCAGCACTCAAATTATTTTATTTTCAGCTGCTACAAAAACAATTAGATAGAGCTATCTTTCTTGCTCTAATCTCAAATTCCATTATTTTGGAATTTTAGAAATACTTAAATTCTACAGAAAAGAAGAAATACAAAAGAACAACAAACAAACCCACAAAAAACAAAACAAAAAAGCAATGAAGAGTTCTTTAGCCCCCCGCTGACAAACTATTCTGTAAAAGATTATTCTGTCTGCAAAGTTTAAAAAGTGTTGAAAAATATTCTATACATCTTGCTCTTAGAACGTCTCCACTTTGACAGATCAGGTGACCCTCCTCATCATCCTCTATACTCCTCGATCTTTTCCTTCGGTGGCTCTTCTGGAACGGCAAGTGGGCAGCACCAAGATCGTCCAGCCAATCAATATATCAGAGTGAATTCAGGGCAGAATACGCAATTCATTCAGCGGGGAGATATTCAGGCATTCAGATAAGCACCAGGCCACGAACAGTTGGCAGGAGCAATTTCAAATTCAGTCCCCAGAAATTCACAGGGCACAGTTTATGTTACAGAAGAAAAACATGGCAAGGAACAGATTTTCAGATAAGATACTTAAAGTGGCAATAGAAAAAAACAACACAATTGTCTCTTTAAAATACTGATTTAATTGAAGTCTGAAATTTAAGGAATGCAATGTCATGATCTAGTAACTCCTGCTATAAAATAGCATTATGCTGGGGGGTTGAGATGTCTAGTTTGTCAGAAGAATGTTTTAAAATGTCAAAATTAGTTGAAATTTATTTAGCAATATTTAAAAATATACATAATTCAAATAAAAAGAAAACAAAGGCTAGTTAATTTCAAATGTCCAATCTAATTAAAGCTAATTCTACTAAAAATTTAGGGGGGAAACAACAATTCAGAATTTACTGATATTACAGGTGAAGATAGCTGGTATTAAAAAAGGGGCAGGTCTCTTAGGATAGTTTCCCATTCAGCACCCTTTTTCAGAACTTCAGTGCAACTATAGTTGCAGACAACAATGCACCAGGCTATGGGACGATGCCATATACAGACTAACTAGCCTTCAGTGCAACGTTCTACATTTGTTTCCAAGTATCAGGAAAGGATTCTTTTAAGTAAAAATATGCTGAAGATGTATGATAGGTTCTTTATTTTTTCAAAAGATATTACAAACAAACAAAACTAAAATCATGTGGTCTGCAGAAAATTAGTATATGTGGCAATTGGGGGCTAGCTAATACAGATCTGCTATAAGAATATGAAAGTTTCCTTTAAGGATTCAAGTTATGTAAACACAATCATAATGCATCCAAATAGTATATATAAACTTTTCCAAACTTAACAGCTCATTAAGAGCTTTTACACACAAGTAAGTATCCACCCAAAACAAAATCAATCATACCGAATGTGACTGATGACTTGAACAATGTCTATTACGCTTCCTTTTAGGACTGCTTCTTCTGCTTCGGACTGAAGATTTACTGCAGTGGATTCGATAACTGTTTTCAATGTCTCTGTGATAATGTCTAGTGACATATCCTTCACAGTAGTCATTTCTGTATTCATCAATGTATCTCCGGTCCCGATAATCTCTCTCGTTCAAGGACCTTGCTTCTAAATAATGACTGCAAACACATTAAAGGATTTCAAATTATTCTTTTCATTATAGAATAATGTGGCTCAAACCAAACATTCACTTAAGAATTCGTGGTTTAGACAGCTAACCCAATAAAAGAAAACAATTTAAATTGATGAATTAGAATACTTATCTCACAAAACTTAAGAAAATTTTACTTTAACCAACAAGCAAATGGTTCATATTTCTCTATCATATAGACAGTTGTCAAGCCTTCACGTCAAGGAACAAAGCTTGAATCAAATCATTCAATTATGTTCAGTGTTTATTTAAGTGTCCTTTACCTTCTGGAGAAAGTTAAAAACCAAAAATTCACAAAATCATTCTTTCTGAAGTTCTTAGCCCTATGACAAGCACCTGTAACTAAATTTTCTTTCTTTTCTCACAGAGCCACACAGAATCAGAGGCAGACAAAACAGGATTCCTTTCTCTTTTACTGTAAGTCAATTTTAGATATCCCTGGCACACAAAGAATTCTTTCATGAAAGGTATATTAAAGCTAGATGGTATCTTGATTGTATTCATTCCAGCCTTTTTATTTGCGAGGACTAAATTAAGATAGTTTGAAGGAAAATGATGTCATGATGGTAGAGCACAAATTAACTTCTATTATATGGGCCAATTTTGTTACACACATCACCTACCCCAATTCCTCTCCTCTTTGTATTTCTAGTTTCCTGTTTTCTCCTCGTCGAGAAATAGACAACATAACTTTTGAAGGTTGACTCATGTGCCAAAGACATCTAAAATACATCCCCTTCAAATGAGAAAGGGATCTTATAATAGCTTGCCTAGGATTACAATAGTCCCACCACCCTGTTACCCTCTACAGTGCTAATTTCCTGTCATTCCTGCTTGCAAAATACACAAGAATTCTACATGGAAAACAGCATCATCTAGTGCCATAGTGCTTAAGTTCTGAATCAACAGATCCCTTTGAAAACCTGATGAAAGACATGGACCCTTGCCCCAAGAAATGCAAATGCATAAAAACAAAACTTGGAAAGTAATTTTATAGAGGTCACGGACCTCAGGAAGTCAATGGATCCCAGTAATCTTGATCTGATGGAAAGAAAAGGACATAGATTCAATTGGCCCAGTTTCCCGTCCCCCTTTCTACCTGGGATGAGTGTCCTCTTCAACAGAGTGCGAAGCTTCAAGAGGGATGCACATGGAGCACTGAGGGAGAGAGGGGACACCTGCCCAGTCAGACAAATCAGCTAAAAGAATCCTGACAAGCAATGGAGTGACAGATGTTGACTAGAATGCCCTCATCAACCCCTTGCTTTGCCCCAGAATATGCTGTTACCCTTGTTCCCAGGAGGCTAGTTTAGATAGAAATAAAGGAGAAGCATCTCTAAAGCTGCTGCTCAACAGGGCTGTCATGAAATTGAGATTGGGAGATGAAGGAACCCCCTTTTCCCTTTCCCTAGTGTCACTCTTAAGTCCTACTTATTGGAGAAATAGTTCAGATTAGGGTAAGACTGTAAGTCTAGGTAAGGGATCTGATCAGCTGGCTTAGAAATGTCGGGGAAATATACACTATAAATTACCATTCTCTTAAGAGCATCCTGTTTAATTCTGTGAGACAGTCTTCCCTTAAAAAATCCAAAATCTACTAGAAAAAACTAACACTAGTAATCTTTAGCTGTAATAGTGCATGAAATTAGAGTTGCTGTTAATCCATGAAACAATCTACAGAATAACAAACATGGGGTGAATACCATGAGGATAAACTAAAAAAGATGAGGATCCCTTAAGCCTATACCAACCAAGCTTAGAGAGTATATGAACAAAATCTGTAGAATTACAAGGCTATGGACAGAGTAGACAGAATGAACAGATTGATTTAATTTCTAAAAATATTCACTGAATATTAGTGAATATTTCACTGTCGTTCTTTCAAAATAGCCAAGACTAACGAGGGTATGTGCATTCGTTTTTATTTCCACACAGGTCCTGTGGAAGATAAAAAAATATATAAGGCAAAATTCCTACCAACAAATAATGAACAATTGAGATTAGTCACATAAAAATAAAACAAAATTCAACAACGCAGTGCTTAGAAGGGTCATAGAAGGTAAAAAATTAAAACTGCTTAAAACGGTCAGGAAAGACTCCATGAAAAAAAAAAAGTTGCATCTTAAAAGGAAGTCAGGATTGAGACAAAGTGGAGAAGAACGGCATATTACCAGCTCACACTACAGAGCATTTTAAGCACAAAGGCTTAGAGATGGGTTTGTCTAAGCATTACTCAGGAAATAAGTAGATAATTTCAGCAAGAGCAATTTTCATAGAGGAACACAGGCAAATAAACAAGCTGGGACCAATCATCCAAAGTCTTGCATGCCAGGCTGAAGAGTTCTAAAAAGTTTTTCTTAAAGGGTGGTTGGTTTATTAATAATATCAAAATATGGAACCATTAAAAATAAAGATCCCTAGACCCCAGGTTACAGTGACTTTAACCGTGGTAATAAATAGGGTTGTCATAAAGTGATGACACATTTTTTTCTGTTTTCAAAGAAAAAATACTACATGACTTTTTTGACAGCCCAAAACATATTAAACATACCCTGAGGTAATTCTATTCACACTAAAATTTAAGAACCACTGGTTTAAGACTAGATATTTTGTCATAGGAAGATATTTAAGAATTTTTACCACAATATGTGGTATTTATAGTCACATCAGCCTTCCTAATGTACTATGCAGAATTAAGCCTATAGAAAAGACAATTTAGACTGCAGTGAAGATACTCTGCAATATATATAAAAAAAAGTAAAATAACTGACATACAATAAAACTCATATATATCAGTAAGAAAAACACACTTTAAAATAAGCTAAGAATATGAAAATAATGTTCAAGTGATCAATAAAAAATGACTGCAATTTTAAAATTAAAACAAAAAACATGATTCTCAGAATTTCAAAATAACCAAGACTGCTGAGAGCGTGTTATTTGGTATAAAGTTTAGAGAATGAGGTAAATATGTAGCAAGAGAGTTACAAGGTTTATACCCTTTGCCTTGAAAATAAATGTCTAAGCTCAGAATCTATTTTCAGGAAATAATCAAAGGCAAAGATTTGTATACAAAGATACTTTTAAGAATAATTAGAAATAACTTTATATCCTAATAATGAGGCACTGGCATCCTACCAACATTACCCTTTTTATACTTTTCTGCAATTTTCATTTTTTTTCAATGTTTTTATTTTAAAAAAAAAACAATCTGGTACTTTTTAATCTTCAAAAAATTAGAATATTCCAGATAATGGGGAGCAATGACCACCACACATCTCTGGTGCTAATGTCAAAGAAGCAGCTATTGCTTGGTGGTCAACTGGCCTTACTTAGTATCATGTTCATGTGATTATGAAACATGAATGAACTATTTTCTATACACAAAAAGTATAATAAAACTATGAAATGATTAGTACTATGTTAAGCCTTACTATTTTGTATTTACTAATAATATCACATGTTTTTCATCAGTACATTCATCAGCCCAGGTGTCAATGAAATCCTGGCATAAATCCTCCCCCTTTCCCCTGTATAACAGTATATGATGAGGAATGATTACTCTGCAATGAATACCAACAAGCTCTCTCTTCTGCAGAACAAGTCTGTTTAGCATGGAGAAGGAAAAAAATTACATACTGTTTTTTAAAGTAACCCCAGCTGGCTAATTTAGAAAGCAATCTGGCAAACAGTCCCAATGGAACATCTGCACAAAACAAGGAGAAAACATAGAACCAACAAAACAAATGAGAAAGCGAAATTAATGGGAAACAGTGAAAGAAACTATGCACCTAACTTTAAAAAAAAAAAAAAATCATTTAGGAACTTTAAAATTCCTTTATTTATCAATGTATTACCTCAGAATTTTATACTGGTAAGAATACAATAAAACAGGACACACACTATTAGAAATTTTTATTGAAGTTCTTTCCTAAATTAGCAGCAAAGGAATGGTTTTTACAATAACCAAGGTTCTAAAAATCCCAAATATATCCAACAGCCTTATCTCAATTATAACCTGTGGAATATGGCATGACTAATCCCCAACATACTTTATCATTCCCAAATAGCACATGCTGTTTTTCTTAGCTGGAGTAAATCTCCCCCCTCCTCATTATCTCTCATTTATGGAACACTAAATGAGCACCCCAACATCTGTATCTTCCTCTTACATACAACTTCTAGGTGCTCGCTGGGAATCCTACCATCACTATTATTTAACAGTGTTGTCTCAGCGCCCCAACTACATTACTAGCATCTGGGACTCAATGAACTATCTCCCACCCTTCCCAGTAGAGAGATGTACAAGGGGCAGGAACTTTGTCTTATTCATGGCTGCAGCCTTAGAACCTAAAGTCCAGCCTAAAATAGGCACTCAATAAATATTTCCTTTATGTTTAAATATTTGACTCAATTATAAAGTAATTTGACAGATGAAAGCTATAAGCTACTGAAATCTATGAGCGTTAAAATGCTACTAGATCAAGAGTAATTTACCAATCAGATTCTTTAAAATGATGATGTGGTTTACAATGTCTGTTCTCTTGCGTGCTACTGTGAGATCTCCTCTTCCGTTTGTGACTTCCACTGTAGCTTTCATGTCCCCAGCTTTCTCTGCTATCCCAATCAGGGCAGTGAGTTCGTTTGGAATGCCGCATCTGTTAAGAAAAAAGGAGCAGTGAGTTGTGGGCATTACAGAGTTACCTTTAGGAGGAAAAAAAAAAAAAACACTATTTAAATATAAACAACCAGCACAAAGGGTCATACAAGTTCTAAAATCTTTGTTGGCAATATTTCCCAGACCACAGGCACTATTCTACTGGTCAGCTAATTTTCAGTGGCACACGGATCAAATACCAAATGCCAGAAAAACACTGAGTCCTTAATACATTTTCTTCAAGTTTTCTGGATAAATTCTCAGCTTTGTGCTTGTCTTCAAGTGATGCTCGCTGACATTTTATTTTTTTTTTAAAGATTTATTTATTTATTTATACACGCACTGGGTACAGTCAGAAGCGCGGGAGGGTGAGAGAATTCACCAGAGCCAGAGCGGGGTGTAGAGCAGGCAGAAGGACCGAAGTACACTGCTGAGGGGAGCAGCGGGCGGCAGGAGAGGTCTGTGCGACATGTGGGACCCTCCTCCGGTGGCCGGGGAGCAGCCGGAGCGAATCGGCGCTGCAGAGGCTGCGGGCAGCTTCGCAACCCAGCGTTCAACCGCTGCGCCACCGGGGAGGCCCATCGCTGACATTTTAAAAATAAAGAACCAGAATCAAGCTTATAATGTTCAGTAGACAAAAATAGCTAGCTAGAAAATGGTAAATTTTTAATTTTTTTATCAGTAACTCTTTTCTATGGTAAAAATTAACATCCTGATTAAGTTACTACTTCTTTTTAAAAAGAAATTTAACAATGTGAGTTGATTTAAAGAGAAATTTCCATAATACCATATAGCTTTAGTAAAATACTGTAATACAAGTAACAAGTCAGAGAAACACACAAGGATACTAAATGAAAGATGACTTTTATATTTTTTACATTTTAAAAAGACAGGTTTAATAGGAAAAATAGAACGAGAGGCACCTGCATAGTCATAGGTGTGTGGAAAGCTGCCGCTACCGTTTTGCAAAGGGAAAAAAAGGTTTGTAAAAAGAAACACATGCATAGTCACAGGCTGTTTTAAAGGTAAAAAACCATTACTGAAACTTCCTTTTCTCAAACACTGGCAAGTTCCTTTCTTTAAATCTTAGAATAACTTCAAGTATTGAACAAGAAGAAACAAAAACTAGGAGGTGAATAAGATGCAGAAGTCCACAGTGAAACTGAAGTGTAAAGAAAGAATTCTTTTATGAGCTCATTTTCTCTCATCCTACATTTATTAAAAATTAAAACGTGCTGTAGATCTTGGGTGACTCTGAAGAAACCAACATACAAGGATGAAAACAGAAGCATGACCACAATGAAATCAGATAATGGTGACAATTTCCTGACTCCACCTACAACATTGTAACTTTCCTTCTAGGCTTAGCACCTGCCTTCAAATAATATAATCCCTATCTGCCCCTCCACAACTTAATTCTTTTCCAAAGCAGTTATGTTTGAGGATTATCTCTTTAAATTTTTTTTTAAAGATTTATTTTTTATTTACACAAGAGCCTGGGTACAGGCCAGATGCGCGGGAGGGTGACAGGATTCACCAGAGACAGAGTGGGGAACAGAAAAGTCAGATCTACTGAAATACACTGCTGAGGGGAGCAGCGGGCAAGACAGGAGAGGTCTGCTCGCCATGTAGGTTGCTCTGAGGCCAGCAGGGATCCAACCAGCACTGCAAAGGCTGTGGACAGCTTCACAGCGCTGCGCTCAACCACCTGAGCCACCAGGGAGGCCCCTCTTTAAAATTTTAAGTCTTTTTTTTAAGTTGAGGGAACAGTTTACAACACTGTGTGGGTTTCAGGTGTACAGCTTCTCACCCAAGCAACAGTACATATCACACCAAGTCCACTACCAAATGTCCAACTACCGTTCACCACCCACCAACTGGTCCCCTATCTTATCTACTCCTGGCCCATCTTCTCTGGTAACTGCCATTCTGTTGTTAGAGTCTAAGGGTTTGTTTTTATTTTGTATGTTTGCTTCCCTGGTCCCCTTATATCCCAGGAATGAAATGTTTCACAACTCAGAAAAATGCTGGGGAAAAAAAGGAAAAATGAACTCAGATAACCTCCTTCAACTTGCCCAAATGAGTTAGTGACAGAGAAAGAGAAGGCAATGGCCAAGAATACAAAAATCCTAAAGCTCTTGTTAGGCTTCTCACTGGAAATAATTAATAAATAAACTTATTATTTAATACAGAGTCCTCTGACATCCAAGTTACCTTCCCCGCTCAGGGCACCTTGCCAGGGTGTCTGGCACACTACCTGGATCAAATGTTTGACTCTGGAATACCTATCTATTTAATAAATAACTTATTAAAAAATTTAAAAATTTTTATTTAAAAAATAACTATTAAAATAACTATTAATTTTCTATTTAAAAAATAACTTATTAGCTTAAATACTTTCTCACTGGAAATTAATTAGTGATTCTGAAGAGTCGCTTCAATATGGGAAGCTGAAATGAATGACATTACAAATAAACATGACCAAAAGGTCATTAGACAACCTATCAAAAAATGTTATATATTTTTAGGGAAATTCTTGACTCTTCAATTACCAAAATTGTATTTTAAACATATTAGGAACTCTTGAAAGTAGCTTAGTTAAGCATTCATAAATAGCAACAACCAATGACTGAGGATTACTATGACCATCATTATACAAAAGTTTTTGTAAAGAATCTACCTTAGCTTAGTCTGATTCTACTGTCAGTCTGCCACAGGCAGCTCACCTCTAACAAGGCAGAATTCTACAATACGGGCCTGGGCCTCCCCAGTGGCGCAGCGGTTGAGCACTGGGTAGCGAAGCTGCCCGCAGCCTCTGCAGCGCCGGTTTGATCCCGGCTGCTCCCCGACCACGGGAGGAGGGTCCCGCATGGCGCGCAGACCTCTCCTGCCACCCGCTGCTCCCCTCAGCAGTGTACTTCGGTCCTTCTGCCTGCTCTGCTCCCCGCTCTGGCTCTGGTGAATTCTCTCACCCTCCCGCGCTTCTGACTGTACCCAGTGCGTGCGTGTATGTATGTATGTATAAATAAACAAACAAATAAATATTTAAAAAAAAAAAAGAATCCTACAATACAACAGCCAATTATCGCTATGCAAATATTAAAATAAGATTAAATTCCTTGGGAGAGCCCAAAACTTTGATTTTCTAGTTCTTTAAATTTACTCCAGCCATTAGGGAAATTTCCCCCCAAGTAATATTCAGAAGTATTTTCTCAGGAGGCAAAAGAGTACCAGATAGTCCGCGTAAGAGTCCTTCACACACATAATATCTCCTAGAATTATTACACTACCACTAATTAATAAAGAATCCTCCATGCTAGAATTGCCAGATGTCTTTCAATAAAAATATCAGAGTGGGTTATCCTATGTATATATCTGTATTAGAAATCTGATTCGCCACCGCTCTCAACACCTACCAATGGCTTAAAAATGTAAAAATTATGATTATATGTCTTCAGAAGGACTGCATTTGGTGGCTAGCAAGACCACTGTGGGTATGCGTAGGAGGCACAAGCATAACAAGGACAGCTATGAAACAAGAGCAGGTGGCAACCAAGGCGGGCGTAAGCATATTGAAGCTCCTTAAAAGCCAAACAAAAAAGGAAGAAAGTAACCAAAGGTAAAATGATGCAACGAAAAGTATCAGAAATGCAGATCTGCCTTAACAAGCGGTGCGCTCCACCTTAGGGGAAAAGACAGTGCCACACAGAGGATGAAGCTTTCCGTTTTCTTCCTCACCAAGACTTAATTCCAGCACCTGAACTCGCAGTTCCTCCCGCCACCCAACCCCCTCCCAGCCCTGGCACCCCGCCAAGGTCTTCCGCACAGTGACAGGCGCAAGCGTTCCGTTCTGGCAGGCTCCCTCTCAAGCGGACTCCCCAAATGCTGTGAACGGCCGAGGCCCAGAATCCCGGGCAGCTCTCGACCGCCGACGACACCAACTCGAGGGGCGGCTCTCAAACCCGACAGGTCCTCGGCTCACGCCAGCCGGACAAGCCCTGGGAAGCGAGCGGCTGAGGCCTTCAGTGACGCCCTTCCGCCCCAAGACTTTAAACCTACTAAGGCACCTGGGCAATGTAGGTATTAAAGGCCACTGTCGAAGCTGTGCCCCCGAAGGAATCCCAGTTGCTGAGGCCCGGGGCCCGGTCGTTTCTCCGACAAGGGGCTTCCGGCCCTCAAAGACTGGGAAATCGCCCAGCTTACCCTAAACCTTACCTCCGCAAAAGCAAAAGGCCTTCGGGCCCAGAAATGTCGCCAAACCGCCGTCTTCTCTCTCCAGCCGCTGCGACAAACACCTCACAAAATGGCGGCAGCGCCGTCTCCCTACCTCTCCCCAAGCGGCCTGTAGCTCCACCCACGCCGCGCGAACGCGCCCGCTTGACAGAGCCTCGCGCGCCCCCGATCCTCTCCTGGAGGAGCGCAGCTTTGTTTGACGTCAGGGGCGGCCCTCCCCTCCCCATAGCGGCTGCGCGGCCCCGGCAGTCCCCGCCCACTCTGGCCCTTGGGGAGGTCGAGGCTGGCCACGGCTGCTCTAGTGGAAGAGCCTGGGCGCAAACCTCTGTTTCCTGCTCGAAGCCTGTGGCACGTTGTCTGCTACGTTAGGTGGAAATACCTCGGCAGCCGCCTGTAGCTTCGTTTCTTGATCTCTGCCTCAAGTGGGACGCTCCCAGGGCATTTAGGCTGCGGGCCTTCCACCATCCGCAAAGGACCTCAACTCCAGACTCCTGGAGCTGCAGATACCATCCCCACCACTCCCCCCAGCCGCCGGTGCCAGACCCTGACAGTTCACTGAACAGGATAAGCGTACTTCAGACCGCTTGGAACTGCCAGCCTAAAATAGATTTGGAAAAATAAGAGGATTTCTCAGAAAATGAGAACAGGGTTGCTTATCTGTTTAAGGCCTCTGCTTCTAACTGAACTTGACCCCCCAAAATGAGCAAGTTCCCTCATTAATTAAAATTAAGACTTCACAAGGGTTTTTTTCTCAATATGGTTCCTGACTCCTAGGCAGTGAAGTTTTCCTAACGCAGTTCTACTCACTATTTGTGTAGATCGGTTTTTACTCAAGACAGACTGAGAGCTAGTGAGCACCATTAAGGGACTTAAGAGTTTTAGGAATCCCTAGACATTACTCAGTGTGAGCGCATAAACTGAGAAGAGAGTCAAAGGCTTGGGGAACAGTTAAAAGGACAGGGAAAGAACTTGAGAAGAGATGAGGAGAACCAAGAGTATGGTGTCAGAAAGAAAGGAAGGGAAGAGCTAAAACGAGGGAAATGTTGACAGTGCCAAATACTGAGACTGGTACGGTGGTGGTGCTGAAAAATGTCTGTATTCTAATAAGGATTACTGGATTAAAGCAAGGCAGAAATCAAATTTAGAAGAGCAAAGTTGGATTGTGTGGCCTCATACCCAACAGCATGGGAGAAGCCTGAATTCTGATACCCTGTTAGGTAAGAGGATGGCACTGTAATGTAATAATCCAAGGTCACAGAAACTTGTGCCACCTGCTTTGGATAAATTGCATTGTTATGGAGATTGTGTCCGCTTCTAGAAGTGAGGAAGTGAAGTCGGAAAACCAATTAGAAAATTGAAAGCGAAAATTAGTAAATTGAAAGTGCTACAGGATGAAACAATGTTAATCCCTTCACCTGGGATAGCCACCATTCCTGCATCTAGAAATCTCAGTCTTACTTATCCTGTTTTAGAGGCTGACCCCAACCTCAGTAGCTCCTATACATCTCCTGGCCCTTGAATACTGCATTTAGAAATGTCTTCAAATAGTTGGCCAAGGCATACTGGTGTGCCTGGATATGCCAACCAATTTTGCCTAGGGTGAAATTATTTTTACAATTATTTCAGGGACCTCTATTCAATGGAATACGAAGCAGAATGGACTGCGCTTTCTTGCAAGGTAAAATGGGCCTTAGCTTGCTACACAGATACATAAATTCAAGACGACACCAAAAAAATGTTCCCTTTTTGCTGGCATATGAGAGTGTTTTGTCTCATGAGGATATAAAGAGAATGTAATCAGAACTGTGTACTGTTTGCTCAAACAGCAAAAAGTTAAAAGAACCAAGTGAAAAGGCTACTTACAGGGACATTTATAGACATCATAAAACAGTGTTCCTCAACTAGCTGAACTGCTGCTATCTTGTTATTTTGAGTATTTTAAATGTGCCACCAAGAGGAATAATATTTGAAAGTGTAACCATCAGAAGGAAGTTAGAACAAGTATGTTCTCAAAACACTAAGATTAGCGTTTCTGTTATGTGCAGTACAGCACTGTGGTCCTCCTAATTGCTCTCTGTGGCTCAGAGACTAGAGACATGTAGCTAATTTATATTGTCTTTGGTATCTAAGTGCTCACAATCCAGTACATATATGTAGGTTGTTTGCATAAGCTGCTTTGGGCCATTTTGCTCAGTTGGTTTAAATTCCAAAGTGATTAAATCAAAGGTAGTCATTTACTCCCAGAATCCCTGTGCCAGTTAGCTTAACAATCTTACTTGGCAGTCTCAACTCTTTTAAGTCTGTTGTTTAGAAGATTAACATATTTGATTAGAAGACTTAAAAAGTTCTGTCTAAATTTCTGAGAATCCACTAGCACCAGAAAAACTGCCTAGTCCAGTATCTCCAACTCTACGAGAGAACAGGTATATTCACAAAACTGTCAGTTAAATGGTGTTTAGAGAAAATCTTATTTTTAAGAGCAACCAGAGAAATATTCTTACCATATCTAACACAGATTCTTAAACATATCAACAATTATCTGTTAAAGCAGAGTTCCAGAGTAAGTCTAAATTGTTTAAATTAACGTTGACAAAGGGTTATTATCTTTATACAGCAACTCTTATAAAGCTGTAAATAAACCTTTACAGAAGTATAACCATTGCTATAAGTTTATTATTAACCTGTTAATAATCTGTAATCTATTGTTTTGTTAGCAACTAAATACTTATGTCCTATGATACTCATTTAATAATCTAAATAACCCTATAAATTGATCATTGGTTTCTTAGGCTACATCTCAGTTATCAAATATCAGAACCAAAATTCAATTGCCATCTGAATTGCTCAAGAACACTTGCTTTTAACCAACCCTTCCAACTGTGTCAACTCATACAGCAAAAGCAGATAGCAACTTACTTTACTTAGTTATTAGGGGAAAACATGCTGACTCCATCTTTCAGCAAGACCAAAAACTTTGTCATTAAAAACCATTTTACAAGGTGATGCATCATCACAGGCTCCTCATGATGAAACAATGGGTCAGTTTATCTCCAGCACACCAGGGTGAGCAAGTATCATGGTGTGCCTTATTCACTTTTTTTTTTTTTAAAGATTTATTTATTTATTGATACAAGAACCGGGGTACAGTTAGAAGTGCTGGAGAGTGAGAGAATTCACCAGAGCCAGAGTGGGGAACAGAACAGGCAGACTGATAAAGTACACTGCTGAGGGGAGCAGCAGGCAGCAGGAGAGGTCTGCGAGCCATGTGGGACCCTCGCCGGTGGCGGGGATCGAACCGGCACTGCAGAGGCTGTGGGCAGCTTCACCGCTCAGCACTCAACCACTGAACCACCTGGGAGGCCCGCCTTATTCACTCTTTAACAGCAAGTCACCAAAGGTCGCCCAGGCATCCTGGCTCTCTGAGATCAGTTACATTCCAGATTTTTTTGGTGTTTCCTGACATTGGTTGTGAGGAGACTCACACAACACACTGTTAAGCAGTCCCACCAAACATTGCTAGATGCATTCCCTGATACACAGCGCATATGGATGTAAAGTTTGGAGAGGGCTGCCTGGAGTGATTTAATTCAGAGGTTAGACTAGGCTGGACTTTCCAATCTTGTTGATTTCCATTGCCTCCAATGAAAGGGCTTCGGACTCATTTGTAAATTAGACTTTCTCAACCCTCACTGCCAATAGCCTCAACTATCAACCATTCAATGAAACCACTGAAGGGAAATTTTTTTTTTTTTTTTTTTTGGGTGGGACCCTCGCCGGTGGCTGGGGACCGAACTGGCGCTGCAGGGGCAGCCTCACACCCGCAGCCCAGCGCTCAACAGCTGCACCACCAGGGGAGGCCTGGGAAAATATTCTTTTTTTAAAAAAAAATTATGTATGCATAGAAGAACTGGGGTGTAGGCCAGAGGTGCAGGGGGTGAGAGGATTCACCAGAGTGAGTGGGGAACAGAACAGGTGGATTGACTGAAATACACTGCTGAGGTGTGACAGTAGAGGTCTGCTGTGCCATGTGGGTAGTTCCCTGGCCTGGGATTGAACTCAGGCAGTAGTGGCTGGTGATAGCTTGATAGCACTGAGACTTAACCCTTGTGCCACCAGGGAGGCCCTGAAGGGAAAATATTCTAAATTCTTAATTTTTTTGTGATTATTATATAACACTACATAAAAGTATGCAAGTATATAATATATGTATTTCCAGATCCTCTGGAAAATGAAGGGGTTACCCTTTCTTTTAATGTATAAATATCAAATTCCTATTTCATGTAATTGTAGGAAGTACAATATCCTTTAGAGTATTCTGATGATTTCTGGAGAGTGTTACCTTTTCTGATGGTTTCCCGTTACCTCTCCCGCTAAATTCCCATTCTTGGTATTATCCTTCTGCTCCCTTATACCATCTCATCTGTATTTGCTGTCCATACTTCATAATATTTTATACCAACAAAAATCTCTTCCTCTTTCTTCTTCAAAGCTTACTAATGTCAGAGGAACCCATGAAACCAGCATGAAATTGAAAATGGGTGGAAAACTGACCAATCTGATTAAAGCTCCTGTGGGCACCAATCAAGTTCAAGCTTGCACCAGTGTCAAAGGGACTCCTGGTGACAAGATTTGAAACCCAACCTCAGTATAGGCTAGGTTGGACACAATGGTGCAGTGTCAGTTTTGAAACAACCAGTGTGAGACTGAAAATGGACCAGCATGGTATTGAAGAAGGGATTGAAAATGAACCAATTTTAATTAATGTTTTTGTGTCCTTAAAACATGAATTCAAAAGGATATCTGCACCCCTACATTTATTGCAGCACCATTTATAATAGGTAAATATGGAAACAACCCAAATGCCTGAAAATAGATGGTGGAATCAGATCAAGAAGATGTGGTATATATATGCACAATGGAATACTATTCAGCAATCAAAAAAGATAAACTCATGCCATTTGCAGCAACATGGATGGAGCTAGAAGGGATTATACTCAGTGAAATGTCAGAAGGAAAAAGAAAAATATTGGATGGTTTCACTTAGTAGAACCAAATATGGAACCAGGGAACAATAATAATAACAAAACAAAAAAACAAACAAATTTAACAGGCAACTATAAATCAGAGGCATTTTGCAGGGGAAG